TCATCATCATCATCATCATCATCATATAAAGAGGCTTGTAAAGCGCCTATACAAGCCAGTTCTAGGCGCTGTAAAAAATAATAAATAAATACAATACAAACATAGATTACAAATCAAAAGCAAGTCTAAATAAATAAGTCTTAAGTTCAGTTTTAAAAGATTCAAGAGAGGTATTGTTCCTTATAGGATTAGGCAGAGAGTTCCACAACACAGGAGCGGCAACGGTGAACGAACGATAACCATAACACTTTAGATTATACGGTTTTACAGACAGCAATACTTGAGACGACGAACGGAGATTACGAGCAGGACAATATCTATTTATTAATTCTTGAATGTACATAGGAGCAGAGCCATATAGAGCTTTGAAGGTTAGCAGGAGAATTTTAAACTTTATTCGATATTCAATAGGAAGCCAGTGCAGGTTGATAAGAATAGGAGTAATGTGCTCGCGTTTCTTGGTTAGAGTTACAAGGCGGGCAGATGCATTTTGTACAGATTGAAGACGGTTAATAAGGTAGACAGAACGTTTAGTTATTCCATGTGATAATATCTCTTCACACAGTAGAAACAAGCCAACAGCACCAGAAACCTAATTTTTCGGCTATTCGTAGACGGACAACTGAACAGCATGACTTCTAGGTTATACTGCAGCCGGACTCTCTATGACGGTGTTGCCTAGTAACATACGAATAAATGCTATGACCCAGAGATGCATGCTCTTAGCTGGATGGCTTCTTCTTTTATCTGGTCTGCGTACTTCATCAACTGGCCTATAATTCATAATGACATATATAGTTTGCAATCGGTTGTTATCGTTTATTATCAGCAGAACAGAGCTGAATAAGCGCTCTTCAAGTGTATTATCATTATCAATAATGTTTATGTGTGTGTGTTGAACACGTTCGTACATGAACGGTATGAAAGCGGAAAAACCACACAGTAGGGATGGTGGAATACGTTGGACACTATCCACAGGATGCCTGACATTTGACATGACGAATCATACATCTCTTGTTCGGTGATGTATGACTTTGGTCCCCCCTCATGAATATTGATATCATTTATGCCAATTAACCTTCACAACTCAGAAAATAAGTTCAACTTGACTTTCTTTCCTCCTTTGCTACTAATGATATGACAGAACATGTTACAACATGTAAGGACTGGAGCTTCAAGCTGTTGCCAGTCTTTACAGTCTGACTGTCCGCTTGAGAGAAGTTCATTCAGTACCTTGGTGATCGACAACAGAACAACATACTACAGAACAAAGAAATCACTTGAAGTCGTAGCAGGTAGGTCACGAGTTTTTTTGAGATTCGTTAAAAAATGGAATCCTTAAGAAACAAAAGTTCCGTCACCTTTACTGCTTGAGTTTTAAAAGAAAGGTTACACTGAGTACTAAACTCGGTCTCGCATCTATGACTTCGTCTCTGCATCTTGATGAGCGAAGAGGAGCAGGAACTACATATTTTCACAATATATTTTTATGCCATTTTTTTCTCCTTTTCCTGTTTTTTTTTTCGGCCGTTACGTCTCTCAAACAAACAATGTAATATTAGAGTGGGTGAATTTTTTTTGCTTCCATGTTTTTTAACAGTTTTTCCCTCACGCGTTTTCTGAATCAAATAATGTAATTGTATTTTTAACTGCTTGAAATGTTGGTTGACTAAAACGTTAAAAAACATGCACATTCACAATGGCCATGAGCGAAGAGGTACGTATCAGGCGGGGGGAAAAAACTTTTTTTAAAAATATTTTTCTTATCCAGGGCACACTTAACTTTTGTGTCTCTCATCATGCATTTTAAAACGTCTTAGTGCCCTTTTCTTTTTTTTTTTTTTTTTTTCTCCTTTTTTTTTTTTTTTTTTTTTATGCGTTGAAAGTTATAAAATAGATAACTGAAGACCAAACTGGTGAGAGGCTTTTAATGGCTCAAAAAAATCAAGCTGTTTGTTAATGACGACC